GGCGATTTACTTATTTTCATGTGAAAAATGAATTTCTATGAAGAAATCAGTATATTGCGATATGATACATTTTCATTAGCAGAAGCCGTGTAAAAGTGATACACGATGTACGTTTAATGTGCAGTGATTCTTCACTTACGTGGTTTAACCACCTCCTCTTCGTCACCCACTATGAGCAAGATATCATCATCAATAGAAAAGTACTCCTGTTATATACGTATTACGGCACATCATACTGATAATGTTTGCTATATATCAACATATTTATCGCTGCTTAACCTTGCAAAATAACAATGGTCTTATAGTTATTCAGTTTTTCAAGCAAGGTTTTTTATGACAGCTAGTTTAGAACTAATGGTTTACTTATGGTTCTAGACATGGTCTATCGAGCGAAATCTTATCGTGGGATGTACTACGATCAGTTGTGGGGCAACACTTATTCATCAAAAAAATTCTAATGCATCTCCAGTCAACATTGGTATTAAAGTATTTTTGTTTTCGTCTTTTAGCTGGATGAAATATTGAAGGAGACCGTGACGTACATTGTTGTTAGTCGGGCTTTGTTGAAATTTCCCCGGCCACCAGCGCATAGTGTGACACATCTTTATCCTTTTTTGTTTGTTCTCCGCTCAGTGTTGATTAAATATTAGAACGTTTAACGGTCACCCGCTGGTTCTTCCAACTCCCTTATTAATGAAAGATTGGTTGCACCACTGCACACGCTGATTCAATGCATAAGCACTACGTCCATTTGTGTAATAAACTTAAAATCTATATAAACTGCCGCAGTCTAAATCGCGATCGACTAAGGAATCTTTATTAATACACCTTATTAATTGAAAAAAAAATTAAAAATACACTGACTGTGTATCATGATTTCACTGAAATGATTTTTACTCCGGAGACACCTTAAAACGTATCCTATAAAATCCAGATTGTAAGCGCAAGTGTGATTAACAATTTCTATTCTATAGTACAAGCGACAAGTTAAATGCTAGTCAGGTATGTTGCTGCAACCAGAGTTGCATATCCAAGGCCGCGGCCAAACTTTTAATAATCAAACAGAATGGCCTTTGACCAAGTCTTATTCATTATAATTCATTGCAATTTTATGGAAATAATGATCATGCTTTAAATATAGACTTTGATGTCGCTTCTAAGCAATCTGTATTAATTTAAAATGGTTTTTGAGACGACTGTGAATTGGACTGGATTTGATAGATCAAATACGACTTTTAGGGATAAATCAGCAAAGAGAAATGAAATGATGAATAACAAAATATGATAAGCCCTCGGGGGAAGCTTCCTCAGGAGAGATGTTCTAATGATCGGGATGTTCACGCCTTTCGACAGTATATACATGTAGCGCACCTAAGATAATAAAATGAAATTTTGAAATGAATTAACAATATAAATCTTTCAGTTCCATTGAAATCTCATGTTCTTAAATGTCAGTCAGAATCCAATAACGACCGTCACATAATACCAAGGCAGGACCCCTGCGGAAAAACGTTGTTCAGTCGCGAAGAAAGACGAACGAGATTACGCCTGTTGAAAGGCCGTGTAAAAGAGAAAGGGGTGCTCCTGCGCGGAAAAACGTCATTCAGTCGCTCGTTGTAAAGGCCAGCTTGCACTGTTCCGACGTCATTCCGCGGAGGCTGAAAAATCGGAAAGATTTGTTTTTGTGCTGTGTACGCCATTTTTATCCACTGTATAACTATTTAAACGACCTCCCTGAGACGTATAACTTTAACCGACCGTTTAGCAGATTTATCCGCCGTATAAAGTTGTACGGCTTTCATACAACCCGTATAAGTTACATGGCTGATTTATCCAGCGTATAGTGCTATACGGCTTTCATACAACCCAGCCCAGGAGATAAATCAGCTTATTCTGAGGATAAAGTTGTCCGCTCGAAATAGGTGGGATAAATCTGCTATCATGCTGTCAAATCATCAAAAATGGCGAACCTGCTAATTGCTTTGGGAGTAAATCCTATGAGATTTCACAGGCGTAGAATGATTAGAAAGAGAATTTTAGAAGACGTCTGTTTGCTTTTTTAATGCTTAAGTGATGCTGAATCAATAGATTACATAACAGACTTTATCAAAGTTGACATGGCGCCTGCTACGAACAGAACCCATGCAATTTGTGAGAGACCAATGATCTTTAATTTTACTAAAACATACCTTTTAAATCGATGAAAAAAATTCTACACTGCTATTGACAGAATCTGCCAAACGTGCCAAGTCAGCCATTTTGTTAAAAAGTATGTCACGACCTTGCCCTTCAACTGCAAATTGTAACGGCTATTTCACAATCAGACGTACACTTTCGAAATTGAGCATGTTACATTGCCTCTAAGTATTATCAAAACCAATCTAGTGCCCACTCTTTGTCCAATCTGGTAGATGACACTTAGACGAAGCAATCAAAAAATTTTTTTTGAAAATCGGTCATAGATTGGCAAAAATATACTAATTTGAATACCCTAAATACAGCCGTTTTTAGTTGTTACGAAGGGTCACTGGAGTTGTGTAATAATTTCATGTAGTGGATATGTAATTTGGTATTGTAATTTATTGCATTTAGTTTGACTAAAGATATCAGTTGTGAGGTATAATGTTGTTTGAAAATCAGTTGGACATAATATAGTGTAACATATGAGACAAAAGCCATTGAATGTTACAAGGGAGCTCTGTTACGGATTTTTCTGTTTTTAAAGCTATTTCAATACATTAAAATAATTACTGTGTCCAAATCCATATTTAGTTCAAAATTCCAACAATCCAAAATTGAAACCACATTTTAACACAAAATTTTGTAGCGTCCGTCCCCCTTGTAGCAAAAGGATAGCAGTTAATCTTTTTTTTAAACCACACTCAGGCACTTATGCATTTCACTACCCATGATAAAATAATATACCTAAAAGGCCAGTAATACAACACACTGTGGATATACCATTTGATTAGTGGTCAAATGTAGCGTCCGTCCCCACCTGTAGCGCCCGTCCCCAATTTGTATTTTTCGCTTTATTAAGGATACACATGCTGAAATGGATTTTAATTAAGTATATTTTGTAAATACTCACTATAATCTATCTAATGTAGCCAAAGGTTGTCACAGACGCATTTGGTGCATTACTTGTAATGAATAAATGGATACATTTAAAACAATGTTATAATATGAAACAATGTTGTTGTTTTTGTTGCTGTGAAACAACACAACAACACTTGAGACGAAGTGACATCACTTGGTTATAGTTTGGACTAAAAAGCCACAGTAAACTTTATCCAAGGTAATAGGTTGTAATGAATTTTGTGCATTTGAGCTTGGAACAATGATGGAGCAACATTTATGTTTTTATTGTTGCTGAGGATGGGTAAACTAAGTCAAAGTAGAAAAAGAAATGCCATAGAAATAGAAGGCATAAGTGAAAGTGCTTTGAAAAAAAGAAAACGAGAAAAACTCAAGAAAGATCCCGAACGTTTGAAAACTGCCAGAGAAAAGGACAGACTTAGAAAGAAAAAAGAAGAGAAAAGAAGAGACTTAACTTAATGAACCACCCAACATTAGCAAAAGCTGAAAGAGCAACGGAAACTAATAGAATGAGAAAATTTAGAGAGA